CTAGCGGCTGCTAACAGAAGTCTCTGAGGTCGGAGTCCTGGGTCAGAGGAGTGCTGTAGTCGGAGCTCCAGTCCCTTTCGAACACGTCCTTCAGCTGCGACTGGACGGTCGGCTCCGGCGACTGCGACGCCGTCTGGTTGACGACCAGCGCCGAGCCGGCCGTGCTCACAAAGTAGTCGCCGGACCAGTTGGACGTACCTGAAGACACAAAGACCGTGTTTTTAATACCGTCTCTTAATGAGGACTGAGAATACAGCAGCATGTGTTGAATCTGTCATGTGACAAAAACATGAATAATTCTCATTTTATTAATTCCTGTTTTGCTCCTCTTGACTCTTGTGCACATTAACAGTCAGCTACACGAGTGAGTAAACTGCATCACAGCTTGAAGCATCAAAGGGGGCATCCACCTCACCTATGTATGCGATCTTGTCAGTCACCATGTACTTGTTGTGGTTGACTCTGGCGAAGGGAATCTCCTTCTGCTGGGGAGTTGCAGGCACCACNGTTGTGGTTGACTCTGGCGAAGGGAATCTCCTTCTGCTGGGGAGTTGCAGGCACCACAAACAGCCTCTGGAGAAGAACAGGTCATCAGTTACCAACATGTCTGATATGAAGCTCCAGGAACGGTGTCACAAAAGATAGATTTCAAACCACAAACTACCAGTTTTCCCCTTCAGACGTCTACAAAGAGACCCTTAGACGTTTGCTTCGTTCAGAGAAGAAGCAGAGGTGTGACAGGACCAGTGGTGGCTGCTTCACCATGACAACGCACCTGCTGTATATGAGGGTTGGGATGAAGCCACCCCTGACCTTCAGCTTCCTCATTCCAGCTGATCCTCCTCACACAAATCAACACCTCCATGGAGGACTTTTAGGAGCAGCTTTTCTTCCGTACATGATGAACCCCACCAGCAGGAGTCCAGGTTGAGAATGGAGACCTTTACCCTTCTCGGCAGCCTCATCAGTAGTGAAGGGGGGCTCCAGAGCCGTCTCAACGAGGCCAGAAAGTCTCTGAACCTACCGCGCTCGCACCAAGCTGAGACTCCACCACACATCTGCTGTACGGGTCCGACTGACTGAGGAGGATTTAACGAAGCCCAAGTCTACGCATCATTTGGCCCTAAACGATTTCAAACTGCCCTGAGCATCCGACAGTTCCTGGCTGAGAAGAACATCTCCGTGCTGGAGCTACCTCCCTACTCACCCCACCTGGCTCCGTGGGATTGGTTCCTCTTCCCCAAACTCAAGGGGGTCATCAAGGAGACCCGTTTAGAAGACGACATTGAGATGGCTGTGGAAAGTGGGTTAGACTCCAAGGGGAAAACTTGTAGTTTGGATTTGAAATATATCTTTTGTGACACCAGTCCTGAAATGTTTCTCACACACCTCGTAGCTCTTTTTCTTTCCGCCCTACAGACGTTCTACTCACCACCTGGATGTCCAGTTTGCTCTTGGGGTCGTAAACCGAAGCCAGAGACTTGAGGAAGGGAAACATGACCGGCTGCGTGCTTTTCCAGCAGCTGATCAGCAGCCGCACTTTGACCCGCCTCTCGTACGCCGCCCGCCTCAGCTGGGTGTCGATGTCGGCCCAGTACCTGCAGGGGGCGCCGCATGCACAGCGTGAGCGCACAGGGTGCATGCAGGTGTGTGTCCAGTTTGCTCAACACATTTAAAGCTAGTGCAGTCACTCAGTATTTTCACAGGACTGCAGGTTTACTTGAACAACTTCATTTGATCACAGCTTTTTACACTCATCTACAAATGTGCTAAAAACCATCAGATCATAAAACCTACTTCAGTTCTTTGAGCTTAAATGCTAATATCAGCATGTTATCATCCTCACAACCGATGCACACAAGCAGGTTTAATGTCCAGCATCTTAATTTAGCATGTTAGCACGCTGACGTTCGCTAATCAGCACCAAATGCAAAGTGCACTGAAGAGCTTTTGTAGATTTCTGATCGTTAAGTAGTGAACGAATGAACGCTTTGGCCTGTTAACGGTGCGATAAAGGTGAAGGATTACTCATTTCAAGATAATCCATCCGACATATATTCCAGTCTGAATAAACATCCACAGAGACACGCTGCTACTACGGCTAAACAATCTCCTCGAGTTTCAATAACAACGGCACCTTTTGGGGTGTGAGAACTCCATGGTGGGCAGGTAGTTCATGACAGCGATGTAGATGAAGCTCTCTGCGTCCTCCATCACGCTGAGGATGGACTGGAGGTCCGGAGTTCTGCCGGCTGCACAGAAGGACGGAGGGGAGCTCTGAGGAAGAGTGAAAAGAGAAAGTGACTGAAGTGAACCAACACTGAAGGAGTCTGACAGACGGCAGAGTGGGGGGCAGTCCTGGTTGTTGTTTGTAAGAAGATAGTGAGGTGCTTTGGGTTTGTGACCTGAGAACAGCAGACAAGACAGTTTTTCATAAATTGTAAAAGAACAGTCTTGAATGCTGGATCCTCAGTGGTTACTGAAGGAGATAAAGGAGGACAGTTTGCTGAGTGAAGCTACGATTCACCTTCAGAGGTAAATCTACTAAATTTAGTGCAGCAGAGGCACCACAAGTTTCAATCAGACTCCTGCACGCTGTCTAACTTCCCAAGGTTACATTTATTAGTGCAATGTTTTGGTGTTTATTAGGAAAATTAGAATCACATTGCTCTAATAAATGTGTCTCTGCAGGTTAGACAGTGTGCAAAAGTCTGATTGAAAGTCTACAAGAAGGGTCATAAGCAAGAGCTGATGCTCTACATACAGTTGAAAGCAGAAGTTTACATACAAAAAGACATAAAACCTTTTTTTTCTCACCGTCTGACATTAAATCAGACTAAACGTTCCCTGTTTTAGGTCAGTCACTATTTGCTAAACGCCAGAAAAAGGAGAGAATTTTTTTACTACGTTCTTCAAAGTCAGAAGTTTACATCCACTAAGATGCCTTCAAATGATTTGGGGAAGCCCAGATGATGATGTCATGGCTTTGGAAGCTTCTGACTGGTTAATTGACAACATCTGAGATAATTGGAGGCACACCTCATACTACCTTTTCTAAAGAAATCAGCCAAGACATCAGGAAGAGAATTGCCTTTTTACACAGTGTACGTAAACTTCTGGTTCCAACTGCAGCATCGTATCAACAACGCTGCTGTTTGGGCTTTAAACTGCTTCCAAACAGAGCATCTGACAGCTTCAGAAACCATTTCACCCCACAGCTTCCTGATGCCAGATAAGGGAAGGTAAACATCCGACCACGTTGGTAACCTTCTGAAACCAAAATTGGTAACCGCTTGACGCCGCGGTCGGCAGCTGTGCAGAGGTGAGCAAAAGGCCACAGAGGTGACTTCTCTGTCAAAGCTTTTTATGTTCATCTGTGGTATTTTTTTGTGGTGGCCACCTGGAAGCTTAGGAACTAGTTAGAGAGCAATAACTGCTCCTTATGAACCCACTGACAAAACAAAGCTCCCCTCCCTGCGCGCATCTCACCGACAGATAGACGTCGGACGGCGTGTCGTTGAGCGGCAGCTGCAGCGGCGTGTCCTTGTTGTACAGCGTGGAGAAGCTGACCGGCCACGGCGACGGGATGGACTCGCTGTCCCCCAGGAACCAGTAGGCCTCGAAGATCTTCCCCAGGTCCGCCGCCAAACAGCTGCAGTTGTAGACGACGGCGCCGAGCTCCTTCACCTGGTGGCCGACGGCGCAACATGCAGCAAACACGAGAAAAGCCACAAAACGTCAGAACTCAGTTTCACTTCCTGATTCCATCCTGCCACCAGGAAATAAAGATTCTTTGCACCACATTAACCTGGAACTTCTTTAAATTTGTGCAGAAGTTAAAGGCGGTTATGGGATGTTGGTGCGCTGGCAGAAGAACAAGATGTCGGTGGCGCTGACAGCTCAGCAAAATATCTGACTGGCTGAACATGAGACGTGGTTTGGAATGCTGATGGTGCTGCCGTATTGCTGCCAAACAGTATCTCACATGACTTTAGCTTAAAACTTCCTCTAGAAAGCAGAAGAAGCTTCATCCTGCTTGAAATCATGTCTTAGCATCGAATCCTTTATCAGACTGGAATAGAAACTCTGTATTCACTCCCTCCTATGATAACAATAAACTGATTCTGTTCAGTGATCAACATGAACGTTCAGGCAACACATTTACGTCGTGAACACCTGTGAGTGTTTGCGTACCTGTGTGAGGGACCTCCAGTCCATGTTGGCGCTGCCGATGTAAATGTGCTTCTTGTCTACGACCCAGAACTTGGTGTGAAGGACGCCCGTGGTGAGCTTCCTCATGTTCACTTTCCTGATGTCGGCTCCTGAAGCACACAAACGGCAGAATCATGTTTCAGAGACACTAACAGCAGCAAAGAACTCCTGGATTAACTGGAACTGGAATGAAACTAGAAAACAAATTCAGCATCGACGGTTTAACGCAGAATACGCTGATATTTATTATCTAAAAAGTGGAGATTTTAATGTGAAAAACACCCAAATACTGAGTGTTTCTGCAAGAAACTGCAACATATGAAATAATCAGATTCTTTACGAGTTCTTAAAGTGATGCATCACAAATATAAGAAATAGATGACTGCCAGTAAAGCATTTATCCCTCACGTAGATATGATATTTAACCATTAGTTTAGGACTATTCTCTACACGTTAATTAAAAATACAGACCTTAGATTTTGTGCTGAGGCAAGAGCAACATCCAGTTCATCAAATAAAACCATATAAATGTAAAGTAAACGTTCAGACTGAGCCTGGGTATTATATCTTTAATAAAATCTTTGTGATGTGAAAATTTGTGATGACATGTATTTAATTAAACTGACATTTAATTAAAAGATCACCAGAAACAAAACGTCTCACATACAGTCTATTATACAAGAACTAAAGTAACTGCATCTGTTAGTTCTAATTGATTAATTGAAGACTGTCGTACCACATTAAGTGCATTCTCTCAGCTTGACTGCGGTTTTCATACACATTCTTCTATCTGTGTCTAAAACATCCAGAACATCATGACAGACAGGATTCATGGAGATTCAGTGTATTTTTCATCCTGCTGCTCACCTGAGTCATTGAGCAGCTGGAGGTCGTCCTGCGGTTGACTCGCCTGCGGCGTGTTCACGGCGACGCGAACGGACAGCTTCCCCGACAGCTCGGCTAGTTTCTGCAGAACGGCCTCACCCTGCACACAGCAAGGACAAAGGAAAGTCCACATTGAACTGGATCGATAACTGCACACGGCAAAAAAATCCCAATTCAGCTCAATTAAAAGAAATGTTTAAATCATACATTGATGTCGGAACAGCAAGATATATATTCAGATAATCGATTCAGGTGATCAAAAACATTACAAAACAAACACACATTGTACTGAGTTGGATAATAAACCCAAAAATGTCAGGAGCAACATAACGAGGAATGAAAGCAGCTCAAAGAAGAGACTTGAAGAAATACTGCTAGCAAATTAAAAACATCTAAAACAAGCACAAAGACGTAATAAAACCTTCACTCAGCCTTTCACAGGTTTTCATTTTCGCTGAATCCAATCAAGATAATAAGACAGAACTGAACTTTATTACCAGCCTCTGATGTTAGAGGAAGAGACAAAATCTGAAATCTTAGTTTTTGAGAAGCAGCAGTCGACATTAAATGAATTCTTTTAGGCGTCCGTTCAGCTGCACGCGGCCGCGCCGAGCTCCGGCTGACCTGAGCGGCTGTCGGCTCCTCGGTGTGGGTGTCTTGGTTGGTGAGCGTCCAGTAGAAGGAGGCGATGTCGACGCTGCTGCGGGCCTCACTCATCAGACTCATCCAGGCCTGGAAGATGGAGGGGTGGGTGGTGCTGGAGTTGAACTCCAGGCCTTCGGGGATGCTCTCCACCAGAACAATCCTGACGGGAGACAAGAGCGTAAAACGGTGATGATGCTTAATATCTGAGCTCCCGATTCTGCCTCGTTGGTGTTTTGGAGCGGATATAAAACACTGCACTCAGTAGACATGCCGCCAACGTTTATTAAAAAAAACTGACCAGCTGACAATCTGCACTTGCAATTCTTATGGAGTTTTTAAGCAAGATCAAGTCAAACTTTTGACTTTTGAGCAAACAAGGATGGAATATCATGATCAGAATAATGCAGAGTTAGAAGATGTACAGCTCCAGGAGGACACAGATAATGTGCACTTCCTGTTTAAGAAGGCGAGTCACGTTTAAGTTATAGGCTCCGTTAAAGAAAGAACAGGTAGATATCAGACTTTTAAACACCTTTTCAGTATTTGCTAAACTTCAGAGCAGCTTCTGTGACAACAGTCGCCCACACTGATCTGTTATTTTGACGAGAATTTCCTTCAGGATGAATAAAGTTTTATCTAATCGTAGCTTTTACCCGTTTCAACGGCAGTATTTGTTTGAGGAGATGCTTTCCTACAGTCACACTTCCTACACATATTATAATCAGCACGTGGGCGTGCAGCTAATTTCTAAATGAATCTATGAGTTATTTGGTCTATAAAACTTTAGAAAACATTCATCACAACTTCCTGAAACCTACGATGATGCTGTCAAATGTTTGGTCTTGTCTGATCAATCGTGCAAAACCCAAACACTGATATAAAAGACATTAAATCTGAATTTTTGGGCACTTTTGCAAGAAAAAATCATTTTATTCCAAGTGGACAATAATAACCTCTTTGACAACACAATCAGATAAAATGTGTGGGTTTTAATGTGTTGTTTTGAATGTCAGAACCGAACGCCGGCTCACCTGCAGGGATCTGAGCAGGACTCGACCTTCTGTGGACGGAGGCTGACGCTCGGCGCCGGATACTTGGAGAAGACGCTCGGCGTGAGCAGGCTGTAGAGCGCCACGGCGGCCAGCAGCACGCTGAGTCCGGAGGCCATGGCTATCAAACACCTGTAGTACTGATGGACGGAGAGGAGGGCGATGGACACCTGTTTTATATTCATATCTGTGTCCACTTCTTCTTATGTTCTGTTGTTGTGTGTGTTGATTGATACTGATTGACTTAATTCATGTATTTGTGCTGTAACCTACCATCTGTACCTTCCTGTTGGAGTCCTGTTTCTTCCACTCCACGTCCACCAGCTGCAGAGCAACACATCCACACAATCACCAAACAATACAACTATCAATACAAACTGAACTGTAAACCTTTAATATAACACGGAAAGAAAAATAAACAATGCATTTATTTGAACGCTAAGAAGAATTACAGTCTGTAAGTTTTCTTTCAATATCATAATTTCCTGTAATAAATATCTGAATCTGGTATTTCTCTACGCCGCTTCACTTCCTCAGATTATATAAAAAACCCTCTGACTTCTCATATTTGTATCGTCTTGCTGTAGCTTCATGACATTACTGGAATACACAGACCTGGCAACAGCGAGTTTCTCAAAATAAAACTTGCCAAATGGGTTTTTAGGAAACGTTCTCTCATTAACTGTCAGGGATCCAGGCTATTTTTCTTCTAATTACTGGAGCTGCATCAGTTCATCTGCCCTATTTTCCATTAATTAATTTGTCTTTTGTGCACAAATTTACGACGTGTACAAAGTGATATTAGAAATGTTTATCTGATGACTGTCGAAACCAACGTCAAAGAAGATAAATGAGATTTCCAAGACGTGAGCAAATAAAATGTCCACGTTTCAGAAACTTTAACCAGCAAATGTTGGGAATCAGATCCAATCAAATATAAAAGCTGCGTGACTGAAGCATGAAAAAGCTCTTTACCTGGTCGTAGTTGATGTCCGTCTTCATGTTCGCAGACGAGATCTGATGTCGGCTCAGGTCAGATGTTGCTCTGTGGCTCTGAAGCAAAACACACAAAGTTACGTCACACCTTCATGTTTCTGCCGTTAAGACTTGACTTCTGAATTAATCCTGAAGCTGCGCAGTGAAAACTGGCAGCAAGAGATAAAAAGTTTAACTTCAAGTAAACCGCACCCACATGCAACTGATGTTCATCTGAACCCTAAACAATGTGGCGTAAAGAGGAATCTACAGGGTTGTTGTTGGAGATGTGTTTGACTTCAAGCAGCTGCTCACTTATGAAAGAACACACCTGTCTCTGTACGACCACCACACACACATACCTCCACTTGTCCTCTATAGACTCCACAAAGAGAAGGTTCTGGGTGTTTTCACCACCAAATACAGAGAATGAACTGCACAGCTCACCTCCGGCACAAAGACACACGGCTCCAGCTGCTGACGAGCTGCATGCAGAGGCTGCCGGCAGCTCAAAAAACCTAAAAACTAACAAGTACAGACAAAAACGGAGTCTGGCACGATCCGACCGAGTTAAATGAAAAATGTCTGTATGTGTCAAGAAACAATGTGAAGTCTGGTGGTTCCTGCGGTCACTTAAAGAAAAAGGAAGCACTGGAGCCTAAATGCTGATAGAAGCAGAGTGACTGGGTGAAGCTGTAACATCTCTGAGGCGGCGGTCACGAGAGTCCGTGTCTCGTCAAGGAAACATGTGACTTATTACCGCTACTGGCTCAGCAACAAAGACTTTAACGTGTTGTTAAATTAAAGTACTTCATGTAGATTTGGATCGCAGAGAAACACCTGAAAAGTCCTGCAAATCTAGGAAACAAATTTCCGGCTCGAGTTGTACCTGCACTCAAATCAGGGAGGAAACACTGCTGCTGCTGCTTTTAGATTTTTTTTTTGGAGCACATTCCTCTGGTAAAAAGTGGCTAGAATGGATGTAAAATGCCATTTGTTTGTCTGAAAGACTGCCAGCTGGAAAACTACTGAGTTGAATTTAATGAAAATTGGTGGAGAAGTGGAACCGGGGCAGAGGAAGAAGCCATTAAACTCTGACGCAGATTCAGACAAGTGAAATTGTGGGATAGTGTGTCGGCCTTGGAGGAGGACGAGCTCTCAAAGTGCCCTTCTAGCTACTGAAGTGGTGCCGACTCCTGTGGTAACATACAGGGAGAGCTCAGAGTTTTGTTTCCCACACACTGCTATGCCAAACGTTACTTACTTATTAGTGCAGTTACAGAAAAATAAAATACGTAAAAAGTGAAATTCAAGCAAGAAAAGTGAATATTTACCCACAGAAACACTAAATTAAATAAACTCAAGGTTCAGATAAGAGCTATAAATAGAGGAACAGGAGGCCGTATACTCAGCTGAGGCACAGAAGTACAACTAAAACACAGTGTGTGCATTTACTGTAAACTAAACAATGCTTTAGAACAGTGAAACCAGGTCTGAAATAAGGAATAGAGACACAAGAGGTCAATAAATATTGATTTAAAACTGAAACTACAGGCCGGGTTCTCAGTCAGAAAAAAGATTTTCCAGGCTTTACAGAATAAAACACCTAAATCCAATTAAAAACTTGGACGTTCCACTAATAAAACGATGTGAAGGAACCACATTTTACTCCAGCTGCATGGTAGAATTAATTGATTATCTGTCCACTGTTAAATTAAATCAGCAGCTATTTTGATACTTGATTCATTTGAGGGAAAAAAGTCCCATCTTCTTACATGTTGGTATTTTCTGGTTTCTTTCCTCCTTCGTGACATTAATGTGAATATCTTTGACTCGTGGAGGAAACAACACATTTAAAGATGTCGTCCTGGGCTTTGGGAAACACTTACAGACATGTATTGAACATTTTTTGTTTTGGAACGACCTAGCTCAGGGGTGTCGAACTGCGGTCCTCGAGGGCCGCAATCCTGCATGTTTTAGATGTTTCCCTTCTTCCAACACACCTGATTCAAATGATCAGCTCATCATCAAGCTCTGCAGAAGCCTGATAACGATCCTGATCATTTGAATCAGGTGTGTTGGAAGAAGGAAACATCTAAAACATGCAGGATTGCGGCCCTCGAGGACCGGATGTCGACACCCCTGACCTAGCTGAAGAAATAAGGCTGGCAGATTCAGTATCTCTTCTTTTAAATCACTTCTTAAACCCCACTTTTATTGACTCGCTTTTGAGCGACGTTCTCTTTTAGATTTCCGCCCGTTTCTTTTCCCTTTTTATGTCGGTGCTGCCTGCTGTCCGTCTCTCTTTTCTCTTTCTTAACCTACTTTTATCTTTAGCTGTTGGTCTTTTTAATCAGTTTTACTAGTTTTATTATAACACACCTCCCAATAGTGACCCAGCTTGTTCTTTCTCATTTTTATTGTGTGTATTTTGGGTGTTCGTCTGCACTTTTTACACACTGTTGTCGTCCTGTGTTGCCTTGTCTCCCTGTGTTTATTCATTATGTAAAAGCACTTTGTGAGTTCTGTTCTTAAATTTGTTATACAAATAAAGTTTATTATTATTATATTTTACAGGGCAAACAACTAATTGATTAGTAGAGCTTTAGCCCTATTTATTTACAGATGATATAGCACATATGTATACAGCCTAAGCAGCACATACAGCATGTATAGATAACAAACTTGACGTGTCTTTGGCCCACATCTGCCTGATTTCTCAGATTCAGACTCAAATTACAACCAGAAGCAGGAGACAAAGAAGGAGCCTGTTTATCTGTGCGGAGGAACAAATGACATTAGAGCTGAACAAGAGATTTGGCTCGACTTGTAGAAGTGTGTCACAGAGGATTCCTCAATTACTAAACCGGCAGAATGACTAAGAAAGAAAAAAAACTTATTCAAAGGGAGCTAGCTAAAAGCACAACACTGTTAAAGCTAAAAGACAATAAAATGTGTGTCAACTGCGGGGTTTGGTGACTATTTAAAGGTGTAAAAAGACACTTTAAGTAAATTACTAATTAATTTAATCTCACGTGAAGCACTAATTCACACTTCTAAACTAATTCAGTGTGAAGTTTCAGCTTTAGCTAGCAGCCAGTCAGAGAGTCGCTGACACCGCAAAACAACAAAAACAAGTCAGCCGCAAAAGAAACGAGTCGACCCACCTGTTATCGTGCGTCCAGGTGGCTCAAATCCCTCATGTGGCGGCGTCCACGTATGTCCTTTACATACAATGTCATCTAACGAGGTTTCTTTATTGTTAAACACAAGAAAAAGACAAACAAAGAAGCCCTATTAGCGGTGTTGTGCTGCCGACTTGACAAGCAGACGGGACAGTAGAAGGGGCGGTCATGTGATCCGAGCGAGGTAGCTGATTGGTGGAGAGCTCCGGTGACGTAGGCGTGGCCGTACAGTAGTGCAGTGCTCCGGTTTCACCAGCAGATGCCGCTGTGAGGCCACAGAGGCCGGTGACTGCAAGCGAATTAGAGTTTAATAAACATATTAAAACGTACAGAATAAGCAGAAAAACAGAAACTAGAACATTAATTAGTGAATTAAAATATCGTCTGAGTGTGTGTTTGTGCGGTGGCTTCAGTCCGGATCCCACCTGACCTCTGACCCGACTTCCGGTCTGCAGGTAGAACTGCAGGTGAGACGAGCAAACAGGTAACTGGCTTCAAGCTAATCCCCCTGAAATACCGGTATGACTGCAGCTAATATCATGCTAGTAACAGGAGAAGGCGGTGGTGATGCTTTAGCAACATTAGCAGACTTTTTTGAAAAAACTTTATTTATAAAAAAGAAACAGGTGCTATATTATAATATGAAGCATCTCTGTCTGATTTTATTTATCTTGTTGTCTAACTTCTCCTCCTTCTTTGGCCTTTAGGTTTATCTAATTCTTTACCTGTTTCAGTCACATGTTGTTTTACTGTCCTCTAGTTGTGAAAAACTGGCAAAATCAATGCAACAGTTGATTTTTCAGCTTTGTGAGCATCAGTTTTATGCATAAATGTGCGTTTGCATGTGACCTGGAGCTGTCATTGTACAAGAGAGACAGCGACATTTGGTTTGGTATCATCTGTGCAGCAGCTAATAAGATCACAGTGTAAGAAAAAAAAAAGTTCAAACGTGATATAAATAATGAAATAGCAATAAAATATAAAATAAATACTCTATTTGCTGAATGAGTCCATACACTGGGAGTGGAATGTACTAGACATGGGGGGAAAAAAAGATTCTTTAAACAATTCACAGTTAATGTGCAGATTTCTCTGGTTTTGTTATATTGCAGACAACATTAATCAGAATCAGTGTTAATTTACATGTTAACTGTAGAAAAAGCGATCCAAACTGTCAGTAACATCCACATACGGATGGTAATTTGTTCTTTTACAGCTTTTGACAGTAAAATCACAATATTTTTCTATGTATATGTATTTAAATCCACAAAAAAATCATTACTTTAAGATATGTGCTGTTATTTGAGAGAAGAAATAGTATATTAAGGATTTGGAAACGGTAAATAATTTAAACTGTTTTACTGTATTTAAATCAACTGAAAATATCATTATTTTACAGATATTTGCTGATATTTTAAAATAAGTTTACATTTTTTTGAACACTGCAGCAGTTTTACCTGTTTTGACATCCTTGCAGACAATATTTCGGAGTGTTTTTTTTTGTAAAGTGCTTGTTTTTTGTGTTTTTTTAGCTCCAGTTTGGGCCTTTGTCTGTACAAGAGTTACAAACCGAAGGTTGAAATCGCAGCAGACTAGTTTTCTGCAGTTTTTTCACATCAACAGCCCCAAATTACAGCAACGTCTTGGGTGACCAGTTTACTTTATTCTTGATTAACTTTAAGTGTTGCTTTCTCTGTAAACACTTTCATTTTATAGCTTGGTTCTCTGAGAATAAATTCCCAGTAATGAGTGTAACAGAAGCTATATATGGAAAACAATATAGAGATGGAAGTACTTTTATTCAAAACTGTGCTATGGCAGATTGTCCCTTCAGTTCAATCTGTTGAGCTTCTATTACCTTTGCACCTAATCAGCTGTGTTTTATTTGCTGTCTTAACACTAACAAACCTGTCCTTTTGTTTTTTGGATCATCTCATCATACTGTACATTAACAGTCTAATGTACTTTTCTTCCTCCTCAGTTTCCACGAAGCCGCTCTGAGTTTAACCAGGAGCTGCAGAGAAACGTCCTGCAGCTGTTTGTTCAGTTAACAGGTGAGAAATATTCATTCATAAAAGAGCAGAAGCTGAATGTCGGTATTTGCTTTTCCAGCTGAGGCTGATATCGATCTGGGCGGGAGGTCAAGTGCTTTTCTCCAGATGTCAGACTGTCCAGCACAGGTTTAATTTATGTCGAGTCTCCTCAACAATACTGGAGTTTGAATCCATCTATAAAAGCACAACTCTCTGCTGGTTTTATTATAGGAGTAATTTGGTGTATTTGCCACTTTTTTCTTCAGCTTTTGTGCCGTTTGTAGTAAAACTATAGACAAGAAGATTCATCTGCCTTTGCTTTATTATTATTTGTAAAGTTTTCTCCTAAAAATATCCACTTTTATCTCCTTCAACTTCCACAAAAATCAAACCCGGCAATAATCAAAAACAAATACGGCTAGTTTAGGAAAAATATGAATAAAATTGTAGTATTCTTAGATGATAATAAAGAAATTAGCTTGTTTATATGACTGTCGGTTGTGTACAGTTGCTAGGTTTGTGTTAAATGTGCATATTTGCCTGTGTGAACAAGATTCAAGACTTTAATTAGTCACAAACACAATTACACACAGTGAGGTGAATGGAGCACCTGTTCCAGACCAAAACAACAACAACAACAACAATAACAATAATAATAATAATAATAAGGAAAATAGTAAGAATAAAGAATGAAAGACACTCAAGAAATAAATATACATGAATATATATAAATAAAAATGAGCAAAATAAATAAATCAAAGTGTCAAATAGTGCAAAAAATACATATGCAAGGCAAAAAGTAAACAGGAAGTAAACACATACTTAAATTGCATATAAAGAAACAGCAGCAAGAGATCTGGTGTAAGAAACACAACATACACGACTTCTAAACATAAATTCTTCTTTCTCGGCGTCGTTGTTGTGATTTTATTCCAACAGGTGGCGCCACAGCGCAGCGCCAGACTTCAAACAGCAGCAGGTTGAAAACCAGACGAGACTCGGGTTTATTTCCACCAGCTCCATTAAAAACAGTGGAATGTGCCTTTATAAGAAGGTGTGGTGAACGTTCACATTTCCTTTTGTTGGTGGCGAAACCATTGATAAGAAAAGAAAGAGCCAGACTGGAAAAAAAAAAAATTCCACGATTATGACAGACTCACGCCTTCCCTCCGCTCGCTGCCGTCTTTATCCTTTTGTTTCTATGGATGAGCGTGCGAGGGCGTTTATTGGAGGTGTGTGTCTGCGCTCGTGTTCAGAAGATCCTAGACGCTTTTATTTCTTTACAGCAACAACGACAAGAGTTATGAGGAGGTTGTAAAACGCTCACTTCCGCACCAGATATCACTTCTGTCCTCTGCTGGCTGAAGATGCTTTTGTGCAACATCACAGATTATCTGCCCAGTTTTGATGTTTTAACTTATGAAGCTGCACTTTTTTTGTCCGTTTTCTGCTCAAACAATGATGTACATGAGGTGAAAACTAAATCTGGTTCATATACTGGATGTTTCTTGCTCCTTCATGATCAGAGCAGCTTCAATTTTTAACATTCGTACAGCACAGGGAAGAGTAAAACTCCTCGCTGCTTAAACCTTCAACTACACCCTCGTTTTCTTTTTAATCCAACTTCCTCGATCTCCCGGAGAAGATCGACGTGCTATAAAAGTTTTTATTTTCTTCCTGGAAGTCCGATTCCCCAGAGTAGGTGTGTCAGTTTCCCTCTAACACCACCAGGATGGATCCACAGCAGCTGCCTTTTTTATTTCTAGCTCTGCTTTAAGATGCTTCTCGTCCCCCTTCATGCTCTGATAACTGGTTCCTACTGACATTCCTCTCTTCACACTGTACATTAAGTGCTTTTTCTACCTCTTACTGGACTCGTATCATCACACCAACCAGCAACAGTTCCTCAGAAAACTTCATTGTTGTTATGCAAATAGAACAGAAGCAAAACAAGCGATAAGTGTAAGACGTGCCGACACCCGTCCGGAAACCTTGGAGATTATGCAAATGGCTGAATTCAGTGAAGAGCCTCAGTGACTGTTGGCTATTTATGGCTCCGTATAAACTGTGACATCATGCACCGGGCCGAGCTGCTGCTGCCGGCGGTGCTGCTGGTGGTGGCGTCACCGTTTTATTTGTGGCTCAGACCTCCTGAACACAGATCGAACCCTGACACCAGCAGACGGTTCGCTCTGCTTTCTGGGATGTTTCCTGCCTTTTAATGCTGTTCACTAAAAATCTACATGCAAAGTGCAGAAAGTGTTTTAAGCACACGAGGCTCCAGACTTTAGATTTTAGTTTATTAAGTGGAGCTGCTGAGAGACGGTCAGTTTAATTAGACTCAGAGAGAAAAACCAAGAAATCCAAATGATCCCGTTGACCGATTAAAAACAATCTGTGACCAAACTTCAACCTAAACTCTTGTTGTTTAGTCTAAAAAAAATCAACAATTTTGACAACTTCTAAATCCTTTAAGTCATTTATCTATTTATTAAAGTGCAATATATTTCTTTTGTTTTGCTGTAAACTAAATAAATTATAAATTAACTGCAACAAAAAAACAATAATTGATGATAAAAATATCCTTCAATCGTATCACAAACCGTGTTGTTGTTGTAAATCTGCGTCCCAAACCGAATGCCTTCTGAATTTTAGATTTAATGATTACAAGTGACTTCAAATTAAGGCTAATTAGTCCTGATTTCAGTATTTATTTTTTACAGAGACAGTCTTGTATGTGCAGGACGAACACCAGAAAAGAGCTTCTCATTTGTACTTTACATTCTTTCTTTTTAAATTAAAAAATCATTTGACATAAACGTGTGCAGAAGAAACCCTCACCAGGATTAATATCACTGACCAGAAGGTTGCATGTTGAAAGAAAAGTTTTGCTTTGTTACGCAACAGCTGCACGTGTGCAGTGAAGGTTTTTCTTTGGAAATTAGATTTGGAAACGATGCGTCGCTTTTTCATTCGAGGACCTGCGATTACTTGTCGAGAACACCAGAAGCAACAAATGGCACGGCGGGTCGATCGTGGCCGTTACGTTGCCGAGCCGCCTCTGGATCACTCAGCTGTCGCGGTCAGATTTGGTTGTTTTTCAGCTGCTGCTTCCCGTAT